CATATAAAAAATATATTGTACATCTACAGCTGTATCTCATGGTGGTTTGATAATAAAAAATAAGAAAAAATAAATCTAATATATAAAAATATTTGCTTGTTTACGTAAATATATATTTATTCTAGCCCATTTGATAGCAACTTTTTATTTTAGCTGGGTGAAACAGGCCTATGTGGAGGTTTTCAACAATAAATAAGTGGATCTAGAAACTCCCATATATGTATATGTATACATATATATGTATGTATATATGTACATATATATGTATATATATGTATAAGTACTGGAATACTTCACAACTGTAAGAAAAGTTGAACTCATGCAATTTATTGCAATATAGATGGAAATAAAATTATCAAGTTTAATGAAATAAACAGAGAGAGAAAAGCTCTCATTTATGTGATATATGGAATACCTGTATGAAATGGTTTACTGTTTTAAAAGATAAGGAGGAGGTGTGTACATCACTTTAGACCCAGAATATACAGAGAAGGTCAGAGATTGTAAGAAATCATGGGGCGTAAGAAAAGATAAACTGGAGCAAAATTGCTCCATGACTTGGAGGCCAGCCACACGTGCTAGGAGAAAAGGAAGCTCAGATAGAGAAGGGAGCACCAAATAAAGGGTGTTGCGTGGATCCTCCCAGGATGGGAGAAGCATGCTGAAAGTAGACTATAAACATTTTTGCCACTCAATGCCTCTCTTGCAAACCACAGAACCCAAAAGGAGAGAGAGAAAGAACAAAAGCGAATGACCTGCCACAGGGTCAGGGTGGGATGGGGAGAATGGGGGGTGGGAGGGATGCTGGGACCTGTGGTGATGGAGGTTGGGTGCTGGTGGAGGGATGGGTACTTGATCATTGTATAACTGAAACCCAAACACAAAAATTTGTAAATCTATAATTGTACCTCGTGGTGTTTCACTAATAAAAAAAGAAAATATAATTTAAAAAAAAAGAAATAAAAAATACCTTCAGTACTAATTTGAAATTAATGTGATTAATTATTATATAATATGGGAACACAGATTTTTTTCTTGACTCCCTAGTTTAGATTTTAGACAGTTGGAAATTCTAGAGTTTCTTTTGGAATTAAACTGCATGTGATATGTCTAACAAAATATGGAAAATTTCTAAATAAACAACTCACCAGTAAAAAATAAATATTGATTTAATTAGGCAAATTATGTTTTTAATATTATAGGTTTAATATGAATAAAATATAAATTTGTGATATTTCTAAAAAAAAAAGATAAACTGGAAACTATGGGTAGTGTTGGTCAAGTTGATTTGAGAACATTGTCATTTAAAGGAGTGTTATAGATAAATATCCAAAACACATTGTCAACAAAACTAAAAACAAGACTCAAAATCCTGTAACCCCATTTACAAAAGTGCTTCTATAGATGTCAGGCTTCGAATATGTGGTGACTGTGTGGGGACCTGAGAACCCAAGAGAGGGAAAAAGACTCTGGTGATGGGATTGGTATTGGCACATAGTATGTCTAAAATCTAACTATGAATAACATTGCAAATCTTGACGTATTAATACAATGGCAAAATAATAATGCATAGATAGGATAAATAAAAGAACTATGTGTATTTGTGCATGAGGTGGGAGACTTGTGAAAAGAGGCAATGAGAAGCAAAGGGGGCAGGGTTCAGGGGGATTCAGGTACATCAGTGGTGTAAAGGAATGAGCTAGCTAAATATTCAGAATCAGTTGCATTGATTGATTGTGATTTATTCAATCACAGAATCAACAACTTTGTAATTATAGACTAGAACTTTAACAACCAAACTTACAAAGGTCATTGTTAAGTTGCAGCCTGGGAATGAAGGGTAGGGGACGAAACTTTTCAGTGGATGGAACTTGACAATGGTAGGATTGATGTGAGAACATTGTATGTCTAAAGGTCATCTATGAATATCTTTGGAATTTACAGTACTTTGATAAAAAAAATTGAAAATACAGTTTAGAGATAATAAGAAAATTCTGTCATCTCTCTTAAGAAATGTATTACTTCAATGTATAAAACATTTTATTGATTAAGGAATTTTATTGGTGCCAATTTTAAAATGTAACTTATAGATTACTAAAAGCAAGTCATTCAAGCATGGTTAGATAAAATATTATATTTGCTCCAAACTTGTCATTGTGAAGATAAAAACTAGTGGACCCACACTACTGAAAACATGGGACTAACCTAGATTAATTAAATTTGAACATATATCTATCAAATTTGGAGTCAGTGAATGGACTTAGGTTCATTAGTTGAGCAATTGGATCATGGAGTGTTTGATTGAAGGTGGGAATATAATTTTAAGTAACTTTGTAAGTCATACTGTAACTTTGTAAGTCATACTGTCTAAATGAAATAATTATTTGTTCTTACTTTCTGAAATTGATGTATGAGAAGCCTTCTTTTTATCATAATATACATTCTTGCATATTTTTATATTTGATTTCCCCAATGCTGTGAGATTTTAGTGGTTGTGCCTTCTCTGAGTAGTAAATTGATGATTCTCTGTGGCACTCCCATTTTGTCATCACATGGCCTTGTTCTTAGCTGAACATCACCCTGGAACTGAGTTCCTGTTTCTCTTCTCAGGTGATTATAAAAGGGCACTCTTGGTTACCTCTGTTCTTGGTGAGGTGATAGAAGAACTACATGCTGTTTTCATCTGCAAGGATAAATGTGCTCAGGTCTTTATTAACTCGTGCAGGGGTAAGAAAAACTACAAATATTTGGCACACCTCAAGAGTGAAAAAATCTTCATATCATAAATTATTTTCTATTTTAGATTGCTATCTCTCATATATTTTAACACTTATATACTAACTGTATTGTTTTTTTATAAAAATAAATAATTGTTAATGATTGCTGATATCCTGTAGATATGTTCAATATTCTACTACTCTGAGTAACTTATTTTAAGTTTCATATAGCAATATTTACTTTTTTCTTATTTTTAATAAATATTTTTCTTTTCTTTGGTGAGCAGAGTTCTCTATGGTTAAAGTAACATATAATGACCATGTAATATCAAAATGCCAAGATTCTAAAGTATTTCTTTCCAATATTACTTCTCAAATTCTTTTGTTTTACTCACCTATGTTGTCAGTTGCCAATCAAGTACAGAAAATTGTATCCCAGTATCTTGGATAAATCAGAAAGACTTTGTCAAGTTGAAAGAAAACAATTTAAAGTTTAAGTTTTAATGGTTTTCTTCTTTACGGAATTATTCACTTAGATGGAAAGAGACAAGCCAATGTAGGCTGTGTACTTTAAATCTTCTATTAGTCTGATCTGTTAATACAGTCATGAAACTTCAAGACGTGTTCATGTAGATTTACTATCAATGTGTCCAGTATGGAAATATATGGCATTTCTGAGGCACTGTTCCATCATTGAACTGACTCCATTGCAGTTAGATTTCATATGGTTTCATTTCTATCTGAATGTTTCTTTAATGACTCACACAGCTGTTAATTAAAAAAAAATCTGTAGAAAATACTAAATGCTACTAGGATTGTGGACTATTCAACAAACGTGCTTATCCATCTGTCAGTTTTTTCAGTCTTGGTATTTACTATGTCCCAGGTATGAAGAAAAAGTGAATTTTTGTTCACCCTCCTCTTATATAAGTTTATGAGCACATAGAAGAATAGAGTTATATTTAGATAAAGTAGTAATCTTTATTAATTTCTATGTACAAAGGAGCTTCTTTTTTTGTTTCTGTGTCATACCTAGTGTTGTTCAATTCATACTACTGGGTTTGCACTCTGGGATCATTTCTGTTGAGCTCAGAGTTGCTAGTAGGCATCTGAGAACAGACCCTCGGTTTGTCACATGCAGTGCTAAGAGATATTACCATATGTGATCTTATCAGTCTTCATAAAGTAGACTTTTTACAAAATTTAACCTAAAATATATACCAGGAGCATATATAAAAACTATATGTCTATATATATATGACAAATTGTAGTTATATAAGACAAAGGACCATAAAAGGCTGGATTCTAGGGATAATAAAAATGAACAAAAATCAGCAGAAAAGTTATGAGGAAAAATAATGAAAGACCTATGCTCATTCTAGGCATTTTGGTTTCAAATTTCAGTGTGATTATAAGATATTCTACATCTTTTATATGGGATCTCTTCTATTGCAACATAGACAGAAATGGGGGGGTCTTAATCATCCTCAATGTAAAAAAAACAATATATAAGGATAGCAAGTTCAGAACACCTTCATATACATTTTTTAAAGTTTTTAAAATGAATATTGTTTATTGAAATGTCACAAAAGATAAATCATATTTTTAATTTATTGTCCAATTTCTAACGTGCTGTAACATCCCCAGCAAATAAATTGTACAAATAATTCAATAGTTTGAGCAACTAGATTTTGACCTTACATTGAAGAAGCAGAGTCCAACCTGCTGGTGTTAATCAAGAAAAATAAGTGATTTTAGTAGTTGAGTTATTTGTGGATAGTAAGTTCAGGAGCCATCAGAAAGATAAAAATATTATTTTGCATACAGAACATATGTAAAAAGACATTTAATAATCACTCTAGGCCCTTAATTAGTAATATTTTCTCTTTCCATATAAATCCAACTTAGAAAGGCAAATGCTCATAAAGGAAATGACTTGATTAATTTTAGATTTACAGGTACATTCTGTGTATAAATGACCATAAGAAAAGATTTTAGTCTTCAAATGTGTTATCAAAGTCATGATTCTTGACTTTGAGAGTATGATAACATTACAATCTATAATACAGATAAGTAGGCTTAATATGTATTTTTTCCAGATATATCTATGCAATTTGCAGTTTTCAAAACATCATTGAAATATGACAGAAGAAGAAAAATAATAAATTGAACCACTTTTATCATCATCATTTTCTGTTACTATCTCACATCAAATATTGAATATATCAAATTGTTGATCACAGAACAGGTGACATTTTCCATTATTCTCTTTTGTCATGAAAGTCAAGTTTATCATCCTTTGCAGCTTTGTTGGGTTCAGAGGATCATTTCTGGCAATGCTCACCTTCCTTATGTTTCCAGTTTACTTGACAATGAATTATTCTGCATCGCTGATTATTCCAAACACTACTTACATTCTTGCATGGAATGTTCCAACAGAAAAATGTCCTAATGAATACAATGTGACAATAAATCTGAGCATCTACTCATTTATAGGATATCCTACTAAAAATACCACTGGACAAAATGTTACATTGTTTTATGTGGATAGACTTGGTCTATATCCTACCATAAATATGAGTAATAATGAAGATGTGAATGGAGGTATTCCCCAGTATGGAAATCTGACAGCTCACTTGGAAGAATCCAGTAAAAACATTGAATATTATATAAAAAACGATTCTGTAGGCTTGGCTGTTATTGACTGGGAAGATTGGAGACCGCTCTGGGATAGAAATTGGGGTTCAAAAAATATTTACAGGAACAAATCTATTGAGTTGGTTAAACTAAACAATAAAAGTCTTAATCCACTTGATGTTAACAAGACAGCGAAAAGAGAATTTGAAAAGTCAGCAAAGGATTTCATGCTAGAGACTTTAAAACTCGGAAAATCATTAAGACCAAAGAACTATTGGGGTTTCTACCTTTTCCCTGATTGTTACAATCATCAATATAGGAAAAGCGAATATAATGGAAGTTGCTTTGACATAGAAAAAACAAGAAATGATCAGCTCAACTGGTTGTGGAATGAAAGCACTGCTCTTTACCCATCCATTTATTTGAATAAAAATTTAAGTTCTAATCCACGGGCAGCACTCTTTGCCAGAAATCGGGTCCAGGAAGCCACTAGGGTATCTAAAAGGCCAGAAGTTGAAAATCCACTTCCGGTTTTTGTGTATGTTCGTCTGGATTTTATAGATGCTCCTGGAGAATTTCTTTCTGAGGTAAGAAAATACATGCAAACCACGGGCCATGACATTGTGTTCAGTCTGGTATTTAGTGGAATTGAACATCATTTGTGAAGGGAACAAAACTTACCTTTTCGTAGACTTGAGGTAGAACCAGGTCATTATGTAATGAAAGGAGTACAAAATGAGATTATATCATATAAAGGAACTGACTAGAATGCGGTATTTTAAACAATGCAGAGTCATTCTAGTCTTAGTTTCCTCTTTTTATAGGTTGGTCTTCCCTTCCTCTCTTCCTCCCTCCCTCCCTCCCTCCCTCCCTCCCTCCCTCCTTCCTTCCTTCCTTCCTTTCTTCCTTCCTTCCTTCCTTCCTTCCTTCCTTCCTTTTTCCTTTCCTAATTTCCTCCTTCTTTCTGCACAGGGGTTGAAAATGCTCTTGGGAATGGATGTGGTGCTAGTTTTAAGGTGTGTTAGATGATTGCCAGGCAAGTGCCTTACCAATTCATTGTGCTACCCAAATCAGTAATATCTTTTTTGACAAACAAACAACGAAAATAATAAAAAGTGCTTAGTAAGTTTTACTGAATCCAGTAATTTTTCATATATTTCATTCTAACAGAGGTAGGAACTATTTTCATTGTTTCCAGTAAGGAAGGAAAGTAATGTAAATGATTGTAATTTTCTTTTTTCCCTCCTTCCTTCATTTTTTCTACACAACATTTTTTAAGGGAAGAAAACCTTTAATACAGTTGAGGTACATGGAGATCATAATATTCTTTTTTTGACCGTGACTGTGAAGTTCTATTTACTCTTTTTTTAAAAATTTTTTTTAAATTTTTTTTTATTAGTGAAGCACAATGAGGTAGTTGTAGATTTACAAATTTTTGTGCTTGGGTTTTGGTCATACAATGATCAAATACCCATCCCTCCACCAGTGCCCATTTTCCACCACCATGGATAATATTCCCCCCACCCCCCCTCCAACCCTGCCTCTGTAACAGGGCATTCCCTTTTGTTCTCTCTCTCCTTTTGGGTGTTGTGGTCTGCAAAAGAGGCATTGAGTGGCAAACATGTTCAGTCCATAGTCTACTTTCAACATGCATCTCCCCTCCTGGGAGGATCCTCCAAACACCCTTTATTTGGTACTCCTTTCTCTATCTAAACTGCCCTTTACCCTAGAATACCCGGCTGGCCTCTAAGCTATGGAGTAATCCTCCTGGTGTTTATCTCAGCTACTATTGGGTATTGATCTCATATTTTGTTACTTTATATCCACCAGATGAATGCAATCTTTCTATGTCTATCCCTCTCTTTCTGACTCATTTCGCTTAGCATGATACTTTCCATAGTACCACTTGTATGTAAATTTCATGACTTTATCTTTTCTAAGAGCTACATAGTACTCCACTGTGTAGATGTACCAAAGTTTCTTTAACCAGTCATCTGTTCTTGGGCACTCAGGTTTCTTCCAGTTTCTGGCTATTGAAAAGAGTGCTGCAATGAACAAACAAGTGCAGATGTCACTTCAACTACACATTTTTGCCTCTCTGGGATATATTCCCAGGAGTGGCATCACTGGGTCAAATCGGAGCTCAATTTCTAATTTTTTGAGAAACGTCCATACTGTTTTCCAAAAGGGCTGAACTAGTCGGCATTCCAACCAACAGTGAAGGAGTGTCCCTTTCTCGCCACATCCATGCCTGCAACGGTTGCTTTTGTTCTTTTGAATGTGGGCCAGTCTCTGAGGTGAGAGATGGTATCTCATTGTGGTTTTGATCTGCATCTCCCTGATGATTAATGATGTAGAGCATTTTCTCATGTGCTTTTTTGCCATTCGGATTTCTTCTTTGAGAAAGTTTCTGTTCATTTCATTGCCCCATTTTTTGATGGGGTTGGATGTTTTCTTTTTTTGGAGTTCAACCAGTACTTTGTATATCCTTGATATCAACCCTTTGTCAGATGTGTATTCGGTGAATATCCTTTCCCATTCTGTAGACTGTCTTTGTATTTTGGTCACTGTTTCTTTGGAGGTGCAGAAGCTTCTTAGTTTAAGATAGTCCAATTTATCTATCTCTGTTTTCACTTGCTCAGCCAGAGGCGTGACATCTTTGAAAATACCATTAGCCTCAATATCATCGAGGGTTTTGCCAACTTTGTCTCCAATGTACTTTATGGTGTCTGGTCTGATGTTGAGGTCTTTAATCCATTTTGATCTTACTTTTGTACATGGTGTTAGGCAGAGTTCTGAGCCAATTTTTTGCATGTAGCTGTCCAGTGATGCCAGCACACTTTGTTAAAGAGGCTTTCCTTACTCCACTTCACATTTCTTGCACCTTTATCAAAGATTAGATGATCATATGATTGAGGGGAGATGTCAGTGTATTTAACCCTGTTTGATTGGTCTGCAGTTTTACCTTTGTTCCAGAACCATGCTGTTTTAATTATTACTGCTTTGTAGTAGAGTTTGAAGTTCGGGAGGTTGATTCCTCCCATTTTCTTTTTACCAAGAATTGCTTTAGCTATTCGCAGGGACTTATTGTTCCATATAAATTTCAGGAGTGTTTGCTCCATTTCTTTGAAGAATGTCATGGGTATCCTTATAGGAATTGCATTGAATTAATACAATGCTTTCGGTAGTATTGCCTTTTTGACAATGTCAAGTCTCCCGACCCATGAGCCGGGGATATCTTTTCATTTCCTCATGTCCTCTTTTATTTCCTGAAGTAGCGTTTTGTAATTTTCTTTGTACAGATCCTTTACTTCCTTAGTTAAGCTGATTCCTAGGTACTTGATTTTCTGGGGCACAATTGTCAACAGGATTGTTCTTTCATGTAGCTTTCCTCTCTCTCACTGTTTGCATATAGGAAAGCCATGGACTTTTGGGTATTGATTTTATAACCTGCAACTTTACTATACAAGTCTATTGTTTCTAAGAGTTTTTTGGTGGAGGTTATTGGGTTCTCTAAGTATAGTATCATATCATCTGCGAATAGTGAGAGCTTGATTTCTTCCTTTCCTACCTGAATGCCCTTAATATCTTTTTCTTGCCTAATCGCTATTGCAAGTACTTCCAGTACTATATTGAACAGCAGTGGAGAGAGTGGGTATCCTTGTCTCGTCCCTGATCTTAGAGGGAAGGCTCTCAGTTTTTCCCTATTGAAGATGATGCTTGCTGTAGGCTTGTGGTAGATGGCTTTAACTATGTTGAGGAAAGTCCCCTCTATACCCATTTTGGCCAGGGTTTTCATCATAAAGGGGTGCTGAATCTTGTCAAATGCTTTCTCTGCATCTATTGGTATGATCATATGCTTTTTATCTTTTCTTTTGTTGATATGATGGATTATGTTGATTGATTTCCGAATGTTAAACCATCCTTGCATCCCTGGGATGAATCCTACTTGGTCATGGTGTATGATCTTTTTGATGAGTAGTTGGATTCTATTTGCTAGTAGTTTGTTGAGGATCTTTGCATCTGTGTTCATCAGGGATATCGGCCTGTAATTCTCTTTCTTCGTGGTATCTCTCTCTGCTTTTGGTATCAGTGTGATATTTGCTTTGTAGAAACTGTTGGAAGTGTTTTTGATATTTCAATTTTGTGGACAAGCTTAAAGAGGATTGGGGATAAGTCTTCTTTAAAGAATTGCAAGAATTCACTCTTGAATCCATCCGGACCAGGGCTTTTCTGCTTGGGGAGACTTTTTATTACCATTTCAATTTCCTTGGTGGTTATAGGTCTGTTCAGGTATTCCAGATCTTCTTGGTTCATCCTTGGCAGTCTGTAGGAGTCTAGGAATTTATCCATTTCCTCGAGGTTTTGATGGTCCGTGGCATAAAGCTTCTCAAAGTACTCCCTAAGGATCCTTTGAATTTCTGTAGTTTCTGTTGTTATGACCCCCTTTTCATTTCTGATTCGGTTTATTAGGGTTTTCTCTCTCCCTTTCTTTGTGAGTTTTGCTAGAGGCTTATCGATCTTGTTAATTTTCTCGAAGAACCAGCTCTTGGTTTCATTGATTTTTTGGATTGTTTTTCGGGTTTCTATTTCGTTAATCTCTGCTCTGCGTTTTATTATTTCCTTCCTCCTGTTCGGGTTGTTCTCCTTTTGTTGGTCCTTCTTCAAGCTCTTAAGCTGTGAGGTTAGTTTATTTTTGTGGGCTCACTCCTCCTTTCTGAGGAATGTTTGTAGAGCTATAAACTTTCTTCTTAAGACAGTTTTTTCTGTGTCCCATAAGTTTTGGTAACTCGTGTCCTCATCTTCATTCGTTTCTAGGAATCTTTTGATTTCCTCTTTGATTTCCTTTCTAAGCCACTCATTGTTCAATAGCGCACTCTTTAATTTCCAGGTGTTTGATTTAGTTTTCTGTTTTTGTGTGTGATTTACTTCTAACTTCAGCACATTGTGGTCTGAGAAGTTTGGTGATACAATCTCTCTCTTCTTAATTTTATGGAGGTATGTTTTGTTACTCAGCATGTGGTCTATCTTGGAGAATGTTCCATGTACACTTGAGAGGAATGTGTATTCAGCTTTTTGAGGATGAAGTGTCCTGTATATATCTACTAAGTCCCTTTCTTCCATTGTTTCCCTCAGATGAAGTATGTCCTTGCTAAGCTTGAGTCTGGTTGATCTATCCAGAGGTGAGAAAGCGGTGTTGAAGAATCCCACTAGTATTGTGTTTCTATTGGTGTCTTTTTTCCAAGTCTATGAGTAGTTGTTTTAAATACTTTGCTGGTCTCTCATTGGGTGCATATACATTTATTTTTGTAAGTTCTTCCTGTTGTACAGATCCTTTGGTCACTAAGAAATGGCCTTCACTGTCTCTTATGACCTTCTTCACTCTGAAATCGATGTGGTCTTATATTAAGGTGGCTACCCGAGCTTTTTTATGGGAGCTGTTTGTCTGTAGGATTGTTTTCCTGCCTTTGATTCTGAGCCTGTGTTTGCTTTGACTATTGAGGTGTGTTTCTTGCAGGCAGCAGAATGTTGGGTTCAATTTTCTAATCCATCCTGCCACTCTATATCTTTTAATTGGTGCGTTTAGGCCATTGACATTGAGAGAGATTATTGTTATGGGATTTTGTCCCATTGTTCTGTTGAAATTAGGTGTATTTGAGGGGCCTGTCCTGTCTTAAAGTAGCCCATTTAGTTGTACTTGTAACCATGGTCTTGAGTCTATGAAGTTCCTGAGCTGTTGTTTGTCTGAAACTGTGTGTTATTCCTTCTATTATGAATGAGAGTCTCTCTGGGTAAAGTATTTTTGGAGAGGCATTTATTTCATTGAGTTTTTTCACTATGTCCCACCACTGTTTTCGGGCCATGAGGGTTTCATCAGAAAAATTAACTGTGAATTTTAAGGATGCTCCTTTGTAAGAGATTTCTTTCTTCGATCTTGCTGCTTTCAGAATTTTGTCTCTGTCTAAAGTTTTGGTCATTTTGATCAGGATGTGTCTTGGGGTATTTTTGTTCGGATTTCTTCTAGCTGGTACCCTTCGGGCCTCCTGAATGTGGTCACAAGTTTTCTTCAGCTCTGGAAATGTTGTAGCCATGATGTCTTTGACAGTTTCTTCTTCATCAGAGTTTTCTTTCTGTCCCTCTGGGACTCCAATAATTCTTATATTACCCCTCTTGGCTTCATCACAATCTTCTCTTGCCATCTGTTCCTTAACTGTGAGTCTCTTTTCCATTTTCTGCTCTTTTCTGGAGAGTCTCTGAACTTCATCTTCAAGCTCACTGATTCTGTTCTCAGCAGCTGTTACTCTGCTGCTGAGGCCTTCCACTGAGGTTTTCAATTCGCCTACCAGGTTTTTCAGGTGGACATTTCGGATTGCATTTTTCTCATTTCTGCCTTCAAATCCTCTTGTCTTTTATTGGCATTGCTTTCCATTGTTTCTTTTAGTTCCCTAAGCATCCTAAGTAGCTCCCTTCTGAATTCCTTGTCAGAGAGGTTGTCTAACACTACAATACTGTTTGTGTCTTCTGGGCTAGCCTCTTCAATAAGAAAGTTTGGTGGGCTTTTGCCTTGCTTTACCATTGTGACCAGTGTGCTTTAGTCCTTCACGTTCACTGTTATTATTCTGGTTGAGTGAGGAGAGAGTTCCCGGATCCGTTCAGTTTTGTTGCTGCGGGATATGATGTTGGCTCAGTTCCCCTCCCACGCAGGTCAAGGGAGAAAACCGGGTATTCTAGGGGATCAAGCTAGCTGAGCATGCACTGGGGGAGTCCCAAGCCGTGGGGGCAGGCAGTACCTGGTTGAATAAGGAGAGACTGCCAGGAGCCATTCAGTTTGTTGCCGAAAAATGGACCTTGGTTCCCATCCGGCGCAGATTATACTGTTCCCTCTTATAGTGGGAAAGGATTTTGGATAAGGTTTGGTCGATGGTAGGCACCCTTCTACGTTTCTGACTTTGGCCTTCTTCTCAATCAGGCGTTATTCTTTGTTTTATAACCGACATTGAGTGAAACTTTTGGAGGAGGTGCTATTTGGTACTGAGCTTATACAGCTATTTTCAAACACGTCTTTGTTGGAAATTGAGTAGGCGAGTGGGCTGTTGTTGGATTGTAGTAGAAGAGGTGGGAAATTTTTGGTTGGTATTAGGCGGCAAGTTGTGGGATGAGAGTCCTGAGTGCTTGATATGAGTGCGGGTAGGGTGTCTGCCTTGCATGCAGCCAACATGGCCAACCCGAGTTTGATTCCTCCACCCCTCTCGGAGAGCCCGACAAGCTACTGAGAGTATTCGATATGCCAGAAACAGTAACAACAAAGTCTCCAATGGAGACGTTACTGGGCCCACTCGAGCAAATCGATGATCAACGGGAGGGCCTTTACTTTACTTTACTTAATTGCGGCCGCATTAGCGACTGCCTGCCGGGGCGAAGGCCACGCCCTCTTTTAAGAGGCCACGCCCCTTTCCTGGTGGCCACGCCACTAGCCCGTCCCAGGCGACTCTCACCCAGGATCTTGGAATGGAGGAAGGGTGGTCAACAGTCTCCCAGCTGGGCTTCAGGGGGGAATCTGAGGGGCGGTTGGGGGGCAGGAGCGGTTCCCAGCTGGACGCCCCCTACCCACCTGGAGGGGAGTAGCTGATGGACTGGTGGGCGGTCCTGCGGAGCTGGACGGGCACTCCGAGATCATAATATTTTGATATGAGTAAAAATAAGAATGTATTTGAATTTTAATTTAATCATATAAAAAAACAACAATTGCAATAAACTAGACAATGTATAAATTAATCTGTTCTTGGTTTCTTTTTATAGCTTTACTTCCTTTCTCCCTCCTTCCCTCCCTCAATTCTTCCCTCCCTCCCTCCCTCACCCCTTCTCTTCCTTTCCCTCCCTCCTTTCCTTCTTTCCTTCCCTCCCTCCCTCCCTCCCTCCCTCCCTCCTTCCCTCCTTCCTTCCTTTTTTCCTTCCTTTTTTCCTTCCTTCCTTCCTTCCTTCCTTCCTTCCTTCCTTCCTTCCTTCCTTCCTTCCTTCCTTCCTTTTCCTTGTTTTTTCTTCCTTTTTATTTCCCTCCTTTTGATCCTTCCACACACACAGGCTGAACATGCTCAGTGTTACCTAAGTGTTACCATTATCTAAGTGTTACCAGAGATCTAAGGTCTGTCAGATGCTTATCAGGCAAGTGCCTTAATTATTCACTGTACTATCAAGCTCTATATTTTCTTTTTTTGACAATGAAGCAAGGAAAGATTGAAAAAAAAGAATTTTGTTATATGATGGCCATAGTTATTTAAAAGAAAAAATAACTCAAATATTTAACTTAAAAATAAGTGAAAAGTATCTAATTAAAATCATGTTGACTAAGTTGCTTAAAGTTACTGTTCCATGTGTAACATTTTAGTTTTATTCCAATTGAGTTAACTTTTTCTATCTTATTTGGCAGCCTGACCTTGTGAATACTATTGGTGAAAGTATTGCTCTAGGCGTGTCTGGAATTATAGTATGGGGAAGCCTTAATTTCAGCAAAAGTCAGGTAAGTCGAATTGGTAGGTAATGAGAAAAAACATTCTTATGTTTAATGTTTTTTTTTTTGATTCTGAATAACGAAAATCGTGCTCTGCTTGGAATAAAATAATAGCTACTCCGTTAGGATTAGTGAATCTAGTAATTTGCATTTGGTTCATTCTTTTCAAGATTGGAGATATTTTCCTTGTTTCCAGTCAGAAACTAAAATAAAATTATTATTTGAATTTCTTTGGACTTTATACGTATTCACCAGCAAAATCAGCTCTAATATCTCAAAATTTATGCACAGTTTTGAGTAATTTTTTGAATAAAATCTTTTGTTTCTACTCTTTAATGTGTCTCCACTAGTCAATATGCACTTGTTTATTTGTGATGTATTTTTAAATTTTCTTTACAATGAATCTATATATACATAGTGATTGCACAAAATTATTTTATTGTAGAGGTCATCAAATAAAGTCCTGGGGTAAAATTGTACTTAGTGCTTTCTTTGTACAACTTTTAGACCAAAATTATTTTGATATTTAAAATCGATAAGAAAATCCAAGAGTGATAGACTTCTGTTTTTTTTTTTTTTATTATTCCTTTTTGTAACAAACAGTGTACTCAGTACAATTTTGGCAGATTTTGAGTGATCACTATCAGTGGTTCAAAGATATATATGTGGTACCAGGAATTGAAGGGTCAGCAGCATGCAAGACGAGCATCCCATATTCAGTACTATCTCACTGGCCCAACAGTTAATTTACAGAATTCTATTAAATTCTTTAAATAAAAGAAAAAATAATATTGGGGTCAGAGTGATAGTACAGTGGGGAGAATGTCTGCCTTGCATGCAGCCAATGGGGATTTGATTCCTGGCTTCCCATATGGTTCCTTGAGAAACATCAGGAATGACTTAAGTTCACAACCAGGAGTAACCCTTGAGCATCACTGGATTTGACTCAAAAAGCCAAACAAAAATAAATGTAAAATTAAAATACTATTGTTTATAAATTTTTTGGCACATAAAGAGTTAATTTTAATTTTAATTCAGCCTGGAAAAAATAAATATTTGTGTAATAAAACATTAGTTTTGCAAATCAATGAATGTTCAAAACATATCAAAGGGAGATTAATAGAAATATATTTTCTCACATTTATTAAACTTAACCGAATCTTTAGACTCAATGCAAAAATATTATTCTCATAGGGGACACGGATCTTTTAGAGGTTACCTTTACCTTTGCTGATAAAAATAGACATGATAACGGTGTATAAGCCATAGAGAAATCAATATCATCTTTTATTATAGACAGAGAAGAGCAAGTGTGTTAAGTCCCCAATTAGTTGAACACAGGACAGTGTGCTGAATTATTTCATTTATTTATTTTACTTCATTCTTAGCATCACAGTCTGCGTTATGATCAGGGGATCCCCAGAATCCCACAAAAAGGGATAGATTTTACTACCTTGATTATTTTTTACCTATGACACTTCCTGATTATTGTTGCTACCTTACTCTATTTTAAATGATTCTACCTGCTTTTCCAATTTATGATCTTTTAAGTGCAAGTTTTTTAATTAAACACAACATCCCTTTTTTTATATCATATTAAATCAACTTAAGAATTTTTCTAAGTGTCCTCATTAGTTTGCACTTGAGTTACAGTAATATGTTTAACTACAATGACTGGAGCGATAGCACAGCGGGTAGGGCATTTGCCTTACAAGCGGCCAACATGGCCGACCCGAGTTCGATTCCTCCGCCCCTCTCGGAGAGCCCTGCAAGCTACCGAGAGTATTCGATATGCCAGACACAGTAACAACAAAGTCTCCAATGGAGATGTTACTGGGCCCGCTCGAGCAAATCGACGATCAACGGGAGGGCCTTTACCTTTACCTTTACAATGACTAGGGTTGAAGCAAGCAATATCAGGAAATGTCTGCAAACTCATGTTTCCATTTTATTTTAAGAGATTCTCTTGGTACCAGAAGGAGCGTCTAAAAGTCTGGTTTAAGAAACATGAGTTAAATGATTTTAATTTCTGGTTAAACATAGACATCATTACAACTGATATTGTGAAATTTTAGTCAGAAATGTGTTTGAGAATTGCACTGTATCATTGTGCGATCGCTCAAGCCCATTTGAAAATTAAATGTAGAATCCAACCAATGTGTACCACTCATGTAATTTTACTTTTATCTGTAATCGTGAGGCTGTTGATGATTATTGCATCTTTATAAGTGGAAATTTGGGTACTGCCCCACATCATATTATCTTCCAGTTTTGTAGGCTGTTTCTCAAAGCACATTTTCACTCTCTCTGGTGCTTCACGCATTTATTTGTAAAATTCATTATCTCCTATTTTCACATAAATTGTTTTATATACCTTGCACAGGGGATTGTGTTTTTTTTTTATTTGTATGGGGTCACACTCAGCAATGCTCAGGGGTTACTTCTGGCTCTGCATTCAGGAATTAATCTTGGCAGTGCTGGGGGGACCATATGGGATGCTAATCATCGAACCAGGATTGGCCACGTGGAAGGCAAATGCCCTACCTGCTGTACTATCGCTCCAGGCCCAGTCCATGGTCTTGAAAATTTAAAGATCACTGCAGCAATAAATATTGTAAATGTGATTGTGTTAAGGATACATTTAATTATGGAGATCACCTAACATCCCCCCGCCCCAAACTATAAACACTCCTAATTCCTTCATTAATAATTTTCCTACAATTCTTTGACAGGTCAGGTATTGCAGTCATAGTATAGGGAAACATATATCAGTCTTTTAATTCATGACTTTACCACCAATGTCATCACCTTTAAGTACATATTTACAAGTAGGTTGAAGTGAAAGTCGTCCGTATATGTTCACTTATCTGCTTATGAAACTGTGGTTTACTAAAGGACTAACATATTCAGATATAGTCTGGGGACCTATATTCAAGAACTAAAGAATCCACTTTTAAGATTTTGAAGGGACATTATCTGAAAATAGATCTCTGGTCTGAGTATAAATCATTTTGGGTATTTATTACTCATACTCAGAGGCATACACATTTGCAAATGACATGCCTGATTCACACAAAACTGAAAAATTGTTAAATTTAATATGAGCAGTCATATGAATATGTACACGTTTTAGCTCTCAATTTATGAAGTATCCTTTTATGTGAGGTTGAAAAATTTTATCAAAGCTCTATTTTTATTAAATAAATCTTTGATGATCGCTGTATGATATTCTTGGCTTTGTAACAGTCAATTTTATATAATATTTTCTACTCTATCTTCTTTACAATAATCCTAGATAGTATGTTCTATAACTCTCCTTATTTGAAAGATAATAAAGATAAAAAGAGTTTGGAAGTTTAATTTTTCCAAGGTCAGGTGGATAAGAAAATTTGAGAGTTCCTTAAATTCAGACTGTTTCTCTCTGATGGAATTGGGATAAAGAAACAGAGCCCATATCCTATCAGATTTACTGATTTGAATTTTGAGTCACCCCGTAATGTGGAGAACTTACTCCTGACTGTGCTTGGAACTCTCAGGTGGGGCTGAGGTTCATGTGCAGTAAAAGGGATCAAACCTGGGTCATATGGCTGCAAGGCAAGGACCATACCTGTTATACCATTTCTCCTTCTCTCGTTAAATTAATATTTTCTGACCTAAATTAGTGCATAAAAATATCAAAGGAGTCCTAACCTGGAGTATTTTAGGTCTCAATTATGCAAAGATTCAGTGCCATTAAATAGTAGATAAAATAATTTAGAATTACAGAAAATATATCAAATGATTTTGTTTGATAAGGTAAAAGAAAAGATTGTTTTTTTTTTTTATTACTGAGTTTGTTTTGTTGCTGCTCTTGTTTTTTTCCTCATTAGAAAATGGTTCACACAGTGAACTAAATCCCATATATATTTACTTGTCCTTTGATGTTCTCAACTTTTTTTATTTTTAGGCATCTTGTAAGAATCTAAGCAATTACATGAACACTGTCCTAAATCCTTACTTACTGAATGTCACCCTAGCCGCCAAAATGTGTAGCCAAGTGCTTTGTCAAGACAAAGGAATATGCATAAGGAAAAACTGGAATGCAGCTGATTACCTTCACCTAAACCCAGAAAATTTTGGGACTGAAATTGGGGATAGTAAAAAGTATAAAATGATTTTGAATACTACAGTTCCAGACCTGAATGAATTTGATGAAAAATTTAATTGCAGTTATTATTCCAATGTGAATTTTACAATTTGAGGTTGTAAACTAAACATTGAGTACATTACTATATGTCCTGCTAATGTTTGTATTTCACCTTTCTAGGACCTAGATTGTCTTTTTTACTAGGATAACAAAGTCACTTTGTAACATTTTATCAGTATCTCGTTTTCTTTACTACATGCAATGTTGACTTTTTTTTGTCTTGAGAAAGCAATTTTGGGCTTCTGCAAATTCAATGTTCAATGGAAATCATCTCCAATAGCCTCTGAGAAGTCTACCAGTACAAAAACATTACCAACCACTTACACACTGAAAACAACAAAAATGAATGATCTATTCGATTTTGTGTTAAACGATAATCATTATGGGGAGGCACACCTAGAGGTATTCAGGTTTATCCTGGCTCTGTGATTAAGGATCATTCCTGTAAGTGCTTGAGGGACCCTATGTGATACAGGGGATTCTAGCCAGAGTTGGCTACATACAAGGCACATGCCTTAACCCAAGTACTAACTGGGCCCATTATGCTAATTTATTTTACTATATGTATCATGTTCTGATCTCCTTTTCAATTTTATACTTGAGTTTAGCAAAGCAAAGTTGAAGAAACCTAAGAATAATTACTATGTTTTAATAATCTAGATAAAAGGTATTTATATTTGAACTTTATGTTTCATTGTGAATCAGCTCTTACCTGTCCCAGACTATAGTTTAATATTTAAAAAATTTAAAAAAAACCTATTATTGGTGAAATTTTCACTGAAAGGGGTACTAGTGAATGGTGAGGTGTTGGAACATTGTATACCTGAAACTCAGTCACGAATAACTTTGTAACTCATGCACAATGATTAAATATAATTATTATGAAATTAATTTCATTTTTTCATTATTTATCTTTAAATTGATACTTATTGATGAGGACAATTACTTGTGACTTTTTCAATGCCACAATAAAGATAGTTTTACAGTATGTAAATGCACCAATGTTATTTATATAATCTATATTTCATTTAACTTCATTATTACCACAGCATGGGTTTTAAAATGAAGCCTCATAGAACATTTTCCTCGTGTCTATAAGGGACATTTCTAAATATTATGGATGTATACACAGGTTAAAATGTGACCTGGCTTTTGTAAAAACAGATTTTAAGGCCATGTTATGAAGAGGTTTACTTGAAATAAAAACAAATTTTTCAATCATTCCAATTTACTTTCAATAAACATCGAAAATATCAAAAACATTAATATGAAATCTCTCTCATTTAAAAAGAATATGCATCATGAAATTATCCAGTGAAAACTAAAATATTAGCTATTTTACCTAATGAGCTTTCAAGTTATACTGAATAAAACTAATCATAAATAAGTAATTGTGTTATAAACATGTTTTAGTTTGTATTCCTAATTAAATTTAGAGAATTCTGCTTTGTTTCAATATTTGCTTATCAAATGTGAAAACCCATTGTATCAAAATCAGCTAATTTCCTTTAAGTATCTATTTACATAATTCTTGAAAAATTTACCATTTAATTTTTGCTAGGCTCAGTATGGCCAAAATTTATCCATGTGGTAGGAGCAAACTTACTGATATTATTGAATTTATTGCATGCATTTTTGAAGAAAGACATTGCAAGTGAAAAATCTTAACATAGTATATGAGCTCAGTGTAATCTGTAATACAAATTAGAAATTTCAGGAAAGAATAGGAATATTATGAAAGAAGTAGTATGTGTGAAGCCTTCAGTCTTTAACAGCAGGTGATACAAAGACATAAAATGGGAGGAATTTTAAAAGGAAGGAACACTGAATGTTCTGGATAGATTGTTGAATGATATATGATTATAATCAAATTATGAGATCCTGTGTAACTCTAAACAAAGAGACCCTGAGTTTATTATGGCTGTAATAAACTTTGAGCATCTTAAATCTGGGTGCATCCAATCTTCAACTCTGGCAAGTACCTCTGAATGTGTTCTTTAAGTAGAAGCTCTTAATTCTAGACTTGGGATCCATAATGACCCTATAAAAGTCCTGTAGCACTGTCCTCCCACTGTGATTCGTCGATTTGCTGGAGCGGACCAGTAACGTCTCCATTTTGAGACTTGTTGTTACTATGTTTGGCGTATCAAATATGTCACAGGTAACTTGCCAGGCTTTGTCATGTGGGAGAAATACTCTCAGTAGCTTGCTGGGCTCTTCGAGGGGGGTGGAGGAATTGAACTTGGGTCGACCTTTCTTGGGCACATGCAAGGCAAACACCCTACCTGCTGTGGTATCGCTCCAGCCCCATAAAAGTCCTATAAATAAAAAACTGTTACAGTAGTGGCGGGCACAGAAACCCATTGCATTTTTGTATGTAATAATGTAGTAGAAGTAGAAAACAAGTAAAGAAAAAAATTACATTCACTGTTGAGTCTCAAAAAAAAATAATCATTCTGATACAAGCTTAACCAAAAAGGTAAAAGATGGATACAAACAAAACCTTATCTCAGCTAAAAGATAAAAGAAGATACAGAGAAATGGAAACATATATTCTGCTCATACATTAGGATTTATAAAGTCCAAAGGGTCATCCTATTGACAGAATTATACAGATTCAATGTAGTCCCTATTAAAAAAAAACCCATAACTTTTAAAAAGAGACATAGACCAAGCGATGTTAAAATGTATATAGTGTAATAGGATTCAATAATAACTAAAGCCATTTTAGGAAATAAAAGTTATGAGTGTTTTCATTGACCAATTTTGTATTTCAAAGCATTTGTAATCAAAATAGCACAGTACATTGATAAAGGTACACTCGCAGAACAATAAAGTAGAATTTAGAGTACAAAGACAGTTGCTCAGGTATATATATGGTTATGTAATCTTATAAAATGATATAGATATATAAGGTGGATAAAGGAATGCCTCTTCAAAATACGGTGTTGGTAAAACAGGTAATCCACATTAAAAAAAATAGCTCAGACTGCAATCTCACCCTTACTGATTTAGAACTATGTATTAGAAACCAACTAAAGAAAATGAAATAGAATTCAAACACATATCTGTGCAGGGTTTATACATACGGTCTTTTTTTTTGAAGCATGACATTAATTACAAAATAACTTGCTCTGGGATGCCATGATTTCCAGGCAACATTATACTGTTATTACTATACCATTTCTTAAACCATGTATTTTTTTTTTTGCTTGTTGGGTCACACCTGGCAATGCACAGGGGTTACTCCTGGCTCTGCACTCAGGAGTTACTCCTGGAGGTGCTCAGGGGACCATATAGGATGCTGGGAATCGAACCCGGGTCGGCTGCATGCAAGGCAAACGCCCTACCTGCTGTGCTATCTCTCCAACCCCTGTAATTTTTAATTATGTCGATTCTCTTTGCCTTGATATCATAGTCATTGATATCATGTGATCCTTGTGAATGTAGTCTACTATTTTCTATCAGTACTACTCCTCTTACATACATTTCTAGTATGAGAGCCTTTGTCCAAGGTTCCCAAATCTGGAGCAACTGATACTGAGCCACCAATCACCAATTTCTCTTGCTTACTAGAGATTCTGTTCTGTTCCTATCTGGGTTTCTGAGAGGGACTAATACCGTACCTCAAATAATCACGTTTATGGTCAAGTTACTTAGAAAATCAAAGGCCTTCTTTAAATCAATGAACATTAGACAGAGCAGCATCTTGAACTCTCCTGAAACTTCAGAGCTTGGTCACCATGCAGATATGGACTATTGTGCTGAATCCTTTTTGGAACCTAGCTTGCTCGCATGGTTGTCCTTCATCTAGTGTTCTACCAATCCTATTCAGGATGACTCGAGTGAAGAACTTTGAGATGACAGACAATAGGCAGATGGGGTGATAGTTGCCGATGTCACGGATGTCTCCCTTCTTGTACAACAAAAAGATCCTGCTTGTTTTCTTTGGGACGAAACCTTGCATTCAGACAAATAGCATGTGAAGAGCCAAGCCAGTGTGTTGATGAGTACTGGTGGCAGATTCTTCAGGCGGTCGATTCTGACTTTGTGTGGACTGGGTGCTATACACTTCTTTACTGATGAAATGGCATGTTGGATTTCAGAAGGTAGAATGTTATGAATGACGTATCCATCCTGCGGAATTTGGTATGTGGGCAGGTGAATGTGGCTATAGAAGAGATCCAAGTAGAAGTCATGGATAACCTTCTCCATTGCCCTTATGAAAGATGTGTAGATCTATCACGCATCTCCTTCACTGCAGGTGGGAAGGTGAACTGGTTCAGCCCCTTTGGAAAACAGTATGGATGATTCTCAAAATATTAGAAATTGAACTCCATTTTGACCCAGCAATACCACTCCTGAGGACATAACCTGAAGAGGCAAAAAAGTACAGTCGAAATGACATCTGCACATGTATGTTCATTACTGGACTATTCACAATGGCCAAAATCTGGAAATAAAACCTAAGTGCCCGAGAACAGATAACTTAGGTTAAAGAAACTTTGGTGCATCTACACAATGGAATACTATGCAGCTGTTAGAAAAGATGAATTCATTAAATTCGCATACAAATGGTTCTACATGGAAAGTATCCTGCTAAGTGAAATGAGTCAGAAAGAGAGGGACAGACATAGAAAGGCTGCACTCATCTGGGGAATATAAAGTAACAGAATGGGAGACAAACACCCAAGTATAGTTGAAATAAGTACCAGGAGGTCTGCTTCATGGCTTGGAAGCTGGCAGCACATGCTGGGGGAAAAGGTAGCTCAGAGAGAGAAAGAAGGAAACTCAAAGTAAAGGATGTCTGGAGCATTCACTCGGAATGCGAGATGTGTGCTGAAATTAGACTATAGACAAACACTATAGGTACTCAATTCCTCTACTGCAAACACAACCCCTAAAGGAAAGAGAGAGCAAAAGGGAATACCCAGAGGCGGAGCAGAGAGTGGGGGTTTATCGGGTGGAGGGGTTGGGAGGGCTACTGGAATCATTGGTGGTAGAGAATGGGCACTGGTGGAAGGATGGGTACTCAATCATTGTATAACTGAGAC